AAAGAAATTTTCAGGATTTAGATCTCCACAAATCAAAGTTAAAACCTTATTATCTTAAAAAAATGGAAAAAAGAAAAAATGGAACAATTTTTTTGGTGGCTTTAGTTCTAAATTTTCAGTGTGTTATATATCCAAACTGCAAATGTTTCTTAATTACCACTAAAACTTTAAAGGTAGACCAACAGAGGGGGGATCACTCGTCCAGGAAAGCTGTCTATATATCTATGAGCAATATGGAAGTGGAGTGCACTCATCTTCTACAACAGTGTTATTGTACTATAATGATGTGAAAATACATGTGAACGCTGATAAGATTCAGATGGTGGTTGGGTTGTCATTTCTAGAGCCTCACTGATATATTGGTTGATTTGACAACATATCAGTATCAGCCTTTAGAGTGATCAATAAATGAACAATTTAAAAAAAAATAGACAAGAAAAGCACCTTTCAATATGTCACAGTGCCACTGTGACAATGTCATGAATATTGATGTTTCACAGTTTGTGCATCAGGGGGCACTCTGCAACTGCCCTGCAGTTTTGTTATTCCACCAGCTGGATCATCAAACACAAGAATCAGAAGAATGAGCAATGGAAACTGAACCAATGAATTGAAAGGGAAAATCCATCCATCTTCCACTTATGTGATTTAGGTTGACGGGGAAAAATGAAATATTTCAAAGCTAAAATCAGAGATCAGGATCTTTGTGGAATTCAAGTTCATTGCATCTCTAAAATAGCAGAATAAGTCACACGGTTGTATGTCCTGTCAGAAACTATGAATTAAAGATGATAGCTTAGAACAGCAAATAAATCCCTCTACAGGAAAATATTTAAATGTTCTTTTAAACGACAAGATGGTTGCAGCTGTCAGTCAGTACCACCCTTACAAGAGGAGGTTGGAGGACCCGTTAGAAGCCACGTGGTACTTGTAAGATCTTATAACTTGCCATTGTTCTGCATCAGCCTAACAGAGCTCTACTTATTTCCTGGTTCACCAGAAGAAACATCACTGCACACGATGCTTTTCCTCCCAGCTGCTGCTCTGTGCTGTCTGTGTTCAGGTGAGTGATTTTATTCAAACACGAGTCCACCATCTGTAACTAACACTGCCATACTAACCTGTCTGTGTCTCTACCCCAGTGATTACTGTGGCTGAAGAGCTGATACAGAATGATTTAACTCTGACCAGGGTAGCTGGAGAAAGTGTCTCCTTCAGCTGTGGTGGGACTGACCAGTGCAGCAGTACTGTTGTATACTGGTACCAGAAGAAAGACACAAGAGATTCATTCAGAATGCTTCTTTCTATTGGTATAAGCAATGGTGCAATAAATCGAGGTTATAACCACCCTCAGCAAAATGATTTCTCAGCAGTGAAAAATCAGGGCAGCTGGGCTTTGGAGCTAAAAACAGTTAAAGACGTTCATTCAGCCATCTACTACTGCTCTTGTTACAAAAGTACTCACAGTGTGAAATCATCCCTGCAGGCTGAACAAAAACCATCAGAGGAAAAGCAAGAAACCACAGCTCCGTCTCAGCCTGAGAGACAACAGTTAGACAAAATTTCAGTACTTTAAATCATAAATCGAAATGTTCATACCGTCAAAGGGTAAAATTAATACTTGTAATTAAGGTTGACAGCTAACTGGGAGTACTGGAAGTACACAATAAAGGTGGATAAGAAAGAAAAAAATGTCTCAGACCGGTTCTATGGGAGGTTTTTCCTCCCATATCATTGAGTTGTATGTTGATGATACTAGTGTTTCCACGCATGGTCTAAAATATTTCAGACTACATCAAGTCCCTTTATGTTCCTCAGTTTGTGTTTGAGGGAGCAAATATTTTTAGTTTTGAAGTCATCACAGTTTTAAGACATTTTGTTGACTGACTTCATAGAAAGTGAAGAAAAGATACGACTGAAATAATAAATAAATTCCCCTCTATATTTGAAGGTTAGTGTTTTGCAAACCTCAGTCTCAGTGGAAAACTGCAACACACGCCTTAGCTGTCAGTCAGCAGCAGCACTGACAGCTGCAGCAGTTAATGGGAGGTTGTAGGAGTTGTTAGAAACACGTGGTCCTCGTCTGATCATATAAATTGTCCTTGTTTGGCCTCGTTTCTATCAAAACATCACTTCTCCTCAGATTCACCAGAGGAAATGTCACTGAACACAACGGTTCACACAATGCTTTTCCTCCCAGCTGCTGCTCTGTGTTGTCTGTGTTTAGGTGAGTTTCAACCCAACAAAAACTACATGTCAGAAACACCATCAAACTGACATTTTCCTCTCTGTGTCTTTGCAGCGCTGGTTACCATGGCTGCAGAGCTGATCCAGAAAGATTTAACTTTGACTGCGACACCTGGCAAAAAAGTCTCCTTCAGCTGTGGAACTTCCCAGTGCAGTGGCAGTTATGTGCACTGGTACCAGAAGAAAGACGGTGATAAGTTCAGAGTGATTCTTCATATTAACATACGCACTGGTGAAGTCAACAGTGACTACAACCATGCTCAGAGAAAAGATTTCTCAGCTGTGAAAAATGAGAACAGCTGTGAGTTGGAGATAAATGCAGTTAGCCTCGTTCATTCAGCCATCTACTACTGCTCCTGTGCTCAAAGCTCTCACAGTGACAAAACATCCCTGCAGGCTGAACAAAAACCATCAAAGGAACAGCAGCAGACCACAGCTCAGGTTCACACACACACACACACTGACGCAGGCATCACCTTTGAAACCAAAACAACTAGTTTGTATTCTATTTATATAAGAAGTAAAAAATAATCAAGACCAAAATTAATTCAAGTAGATTCAAAAGATGACACAATTGGGAGTATCAGATAAACTTGTCTTGTGTGTTCACATTCAGGTCAAAAACAGCAGACTGTAAAAATCCACAGAGATTATCTTCTTCTGACAAACATCAAACAGAAGTGTCTATATTTTTTGGAGAAGCAATATTCCTCTATGAGAACAGCAACTGAGGGAAAACCAAAACACCACAACACAGTGATCACAGCTCCAGAAACCAGAAAGCATATAGCTTTGAAAAAAAAAAAGAAATGAATGAAAAACAACAGTTTGAATCCAAGATTCTCAAAGTATAGCCAACTGGTCAATCACACCCTTTAGTAACATTATAGTTATGACTGTCATCCTCACAAATGTCAGCCAACGCTAAAAGTTACATCACATCCACGAGTGCAAGCTGTGCTTTGGTGTCTTTTTGGTCGCTTTGATTGTCCAACTCTTATTTCTGTAACCTTGCACATCTGCACAGAGCATACAGGTTGGTTTCTTTTCCTTTACAGTCATTGCTGCCATGTGCTGGTTCTCTACATTTCCATGAGGACTCCTCATAATAATCATGCTGAGATTTGCAGGCAGTTAAACTACAAAACATGCAGCAAGTTTGTATTTTGTCTGAGGAGATTTTTTTTTTTTTTGTCTCTGCCGATGTTTATAATTTTGAACAAACAGAAGAAACCATTTAGCTGGACAGATATTTGTTCTTAGAAACCAGAGGACGACCAAAGTGCATACTAATATTGTAACACTTGTTGGCTGTTTCTAGGTCCCAAAACATGCTCAGATGGGTCGGCTGGTGCAGTTAAAGTGACTTATTTGCACAGTTTTATCTTTGCAGACCGTTCATTGATTCCAGACAATCGATGTCAGCTGTGTCCACCAGGCTCTCCTGACACTGCCCCTGAACCCACTGCAACACCCCTACTGTGCAGCTGAGCCACAGACTACACGCCCCACCACAGCAAATAAGATAAGATAAGATAAGATAACTCTTTATTGTCATTGCACAGTCATACATAGTACAGTAGTACAATGAAATTGGAAAAACTGTCCTACGTCGGCACTACATATAACACAACACGACACGATATGACACATCACAACGTAACAAACAACACAACACAGTATATTAACTTAGTATAAAAAAGAAGAATAAGTGTATGTGTATTGCACACTGTTATTATTGCACATTAATTATTATTGCACCTTGTTATAAATATAAATATTATTGTTATCGTTTTAAACATTGTTACCTCCCCCTAAAAAGTCCAGGGAGGTAGCCAGTCAGGTCAGCTATTTGCATTGATCAGGGCTATTGCCCTGTTGTAAAAGCTGTCCTTGAGTCAATTTGTTCGGGACCTCAGCAGCCTGAACCTCCTGCCAGACGGCAGCAGCTTAAACACCCGGTGTCCTGGGTGTGTGCAGTCCTGTAGGATGCTGCGTGCCCTCTTGAGACAGCGAGTGCTGTACAGGTCCTTCAGGGAGGGAAGAGGATGTCCAATGATTTTTTGGGCCATGTTGATGACCCTCTGGAGTGCCTTTCTGCGTGCTGTGGTGCAGCTGGAGAACCACACACCGATGCAATATGTCAGCACACTTTCAATGGAGCAGCGGTAGAAGACGGTCAGCAGCTCCTTCTTCAGGTCCATTTTTCTGAGGATTCTCAGAAAGTGGAGACGCTGTTGGGCCTTCTTTAAGACCGCAGAGGTGTTAGAGCTCCATTGGAGGTCTGTGTCTATGTGCACACCCAGAAACTTGAAACTGGAGACCCTTTCCACGCACTCCCCGTTGATGCTGACAGGCTGCAGCTCGGACTTCCTCCTTCTGAAGTCAACTACCAGTTCTTTTGTTTTGGTGGTATTGAGGTCCAGGTTGTTGTCTGCACACCAATCTGACAGCCTCTGAACTTCAGCTCTGTATGCAGTCTCATCTCCCCCTGAGATGAGCCCCACCACAGTGGTATCATCTGCAAACTTGATGACTGTGTTGTCTGGGTGGGAACTAACACAGTCATGTGTGTACAGAGTGTACAGTAGGGGACTCAGTACACAGCCTTGTGGAGAGCCGGTGTTGAGGCTGAGGGCTGAGGAAAGATGAGGCCCCACTCTAACTCTCTGTACACGGTCTGAGAGGAAGTCTCTGATCCAGCGGCAGGTGGTGGAAGGAAGTCCAATTTCCATCAGTTTATCTATTAGTCTGTCCGGGAGTATCGTATTGAAAGCAGAGCTAAAGTCAACAAAGAGCAGCCTGAATCCTGTTACAGTGCTACTCCATCAAAACATTGTTGAGAAGGTTAATTCTGGAGGAAAACTGCCAACCTGCTGTTTGGACAAGAATAAACTTGTGAAACAAAGGTCAGCTCAGGTAGCTCATCATCTGGAGGCAGAAGTTATGCAGAATATTCAGATTCATGCAGTTTTTACAACATTAATTCATCTCGACTGAACCAAATCATGGAGCTGAATTACACTAAACAGAAATAACAACATGACCCCTGACAGGTGACAAGATTATCTCTTCATCACGGCACCTGTTAGTCGGTAGGATGTATTAAGGAGCAAGTAAACATTTTCTCCTCAAGTTGGTGTGTTAGAAGCAGAAAAAATGGGCGAGTGTAAGGATTTGAGTGAGTTTGACAAAATAGTGATGGCTAGATGACTCGCTGCAAAAATGGAAAAGCCCGATTGTGGGGTGTTCCTGCGGGTGGTCAGTTTGTATCAAAAGTCGTCAAAGGAAGAAACAGTGACCAGTAACTGAGCATCTGTGGGATCTACGGGACAAACAAGTGTGATCCATGGAGGTCCTTCCTCACAACTTACAAGACTTCAAGGATCTGTTGCTAACATCTCAGTGCCAGATACCACAGCACATCTTCAGGGGTCGAGTGGAATCCATGCCTCACGACTGTTTTGGCAGCAAAAGAGGGACCAACACAAAATCAGGCAGAGTCATAATGTTACGTCTGATCGGTGAATGACATTGCTTTACCTCAGCTGCCACATTCAACATGAGACAGGTTTTTGTACTGGTCTGTGTCACTGTGTGAGGAGACATGATCTTTGGCTCTGGAGCTAAACTGTACGTAACAGGTAAGAACAAATGAATTAATTTTCCTTACGACTTTCAAAATGACAATTTGTTCAAAGCCAGTTTCTGTTAAGTTCGACTTTAAATGTGTTTCTGTAAAGGTCGAAAAAAAACTGTGAATCTCACTGTATATGTGAGGTATTTATTGGGGGGTTTTCAGCGTGAAAAGTCCTAAAAGTCTGATGTGAGCAGGATTACAACTAATCCTTATCTAAGAAATTTCAACATCCTTTTATTTATTTTTATATTTGTTTGTAAGCTCAAAAAGATAACAGACTCACTGGGATTTGTGAAAGAAAATCATTAAAATTAAACGTGGACATATTTACAGTAAGTCATAAGCTTATAAATAAAATGTTATTCATATTTGAATCTTAAGACACATTTAAGGAAAGTTTAATGACTACTGACTTAATATTATCTCAAATATTATAGTAGATGTAATTTGGAAATTTAGGACTTGACATCATACTTAAAATAAGAAAAGTTTTGAAATTATATAATAAGCTATGTAATTCAGTATTTCATTACATGTAGTGCATTATATAGAATTGATTGTGTATCCTTTGAGGGCTTTAAGCTATTTTTCACATATTCAAATAATTGCTATTGTTTAACTACATGAAAAAAATTATGTCTCATGTGAACACAATGAAAAAAGTTCTGAAGTTTCTGATCTAATGATGTCTCGGTCTCTCTCTCTGTGCATACTGGAAATTTCTTAAATGTCATTTTAATGTCATTAAAATGTCATACAAAATATTTAGTTAATCGCAATATAGATTTAAAAAATCCCCTGTACAAATATTTCTTCATAAATGTTTTCAGCTGAAATTACTGTAATATGTATATACTAACCTTGTATATTTTAAGAGATTATAGATGCCAAATATAAAATCATTATGAAAACAAAGATACAATTAAATTCTGACATATTATAAAAACTGATATAGAAATATTCACATCGTATATATGAAATCTTATTTGCAACAGTTTTAGAATAATTACAAACGATATGCTTCAAATATATACAGAAACTATAATGTACAAAGTACGCGTGCTTTCATTATCAATACTGCTGCCATGATATGTGAAGGATGTGATTTATTTTTACATCTATAGATGTGTTACATTGTATTGTTATAATTTAAAATTGTGATAACAGACGTAAAGGACAAAGGAGTTAATTGTATTAAATATTGTGTGTTAATGAAATCAGTTTAACTTTGATAAATATAATTCTGCCTTTAATATTTAATATTACATTGTACATTATAACAATAAATCATCTGAATATTGTTAAGTGTTTAAAATGAGCCATTGCACGGCCGATAGGCACTGATTGGTAGTTTGGTGATTATGAAGCTTCTCAGGTCACACTGAGTGAAATTCTGTGTCTGCTGTCAAACTTCAGCTACGCCGGTAGCAAAGCCCTCGGTGACAGTGTACCAAGCAGCATCCAGTGATCATCTGGAGGAGAAGAGATCCCTGCTGTGTGTGGCCTCACAAATGGTTCCTCCTGTGGTCAAGATCACCTGGAAAAGCCAGAAGCAGGACGGATCTCCGCTGGCGGCGCCCCCTGGTGACACAGAACAGCTGGACATCATAGAGTCCGATTACACTGCCAGCATCTTGTTGATCCATCAGCAAGACGAGAACTCACATACATATGGCTGTTCTGTCACACACGAGGGGGGGACGGTGGAGGGTCAAATAGAGGAAGGTAATGAAAGTTTGTTGCCTTTTCAGCATGAAATTAGCTACGCAGCTACTCAAATGTGACTTTTCTGTTTCAGGAGTTTCTCAAAGTCCACCAAAAGAACTTCCACCAGATACACTTTCCACCAATCAAACTTTAACAGAAGGTCCATCATCAGAACATCCCGTGTCTCAAAAACAAGTAAAACTGCTCTGCCTGGTGTACACGGTGCTGATCACGAAGAGTCTGGTGTACTGCTGTGGAGTCTCTCTGCTCAGGCTCATCAGACGCAGCCGCAAACACGCAGCTGACTGACTGTTTCCTTCTTCTTGGCTTATCGCTTTTCATATCGTTTATCACTCAGGATTTAGAAAAGTCTGTAACAGTGCAGCATTTTGGTTGTTTTTTTACTTTCTTTTTTATTTCAATATTAAAAAAAGAGCTGAAACAGAAAAGGCTGAATTATTAGCTCCCTAGTAGATGATTCATCATTTATAGCATTTGTTTAATTAAAACAAAGTGTTGCCTGCTCTTCAAAGTATTTCTCTGCAATATTCCGAATAAAGCAAACAAAAAAAATCTTGCTTGTTTGAGTTTAATTTTGTAGAAAACTGCGAGAAACAGCAGCACTCCCAATATATGCTGATAGGCAACGAGCAGTGGTAAAAGAAGAACAAATGTTTAATGAGATACAAACAGGATTTTAAAGAAGATGAGAACATGAAACCATAAATCTGTTAGATAAAAAAAAAACATGCAGGTGTGTCTGAGCCTTATTTTTAGTTCACTATCATTGGGACTGCATAGTCATCACATGATGTGATATCATAGTGTGGAAGTAAATGTTCAAAATCATAATGTTCCCTCACAAAATCACAAATTCCTTCCAGATGCAATAAAAATGTTAAACACAATGACCCAATATTTATTTGAATATGAAATTATAAATGTTAAAATAAATTAAAATTAGAGTTCACCTTGATTGGTTTAATTTTGTAAAGGACATATTTAGCAGATGCATTTGTGAACTCTCACCAATGTGTTTGTCATTCAACAACAATTAGTTCTATGACCTAAAATATTATTTAATATGTTCTCCATGATTCGAAGCAGATAAAACTATGAAAGCAAACTCCAGTTTTAAGCTCTGTCCTCTTTCAGACATTGCAAATCAAATGTTTCTTTATACAGATAGTGTGGTTTTCTTATTAAAGGAAACAGAATAAAAACTGTCTAACTAAAGGAACCAAACTATCAGGAACTCAGTCTTAAAAACGATATCATCTTTACACCAGCTTTATTTGGACTGTGTGGGGTTTTTTACACATGCACATGTATATCCTGCAGTGTCTGCATATCTATATATCAGTTATGTAAATTATGTGTCATTGTGTGTTCCATGTGAGATTGTTTAAAGCCTCTGAACAATGTCATGATATCAGTGCAGCTGTTAGCGCTGCGACCCCATAGCAGCGTCCTTTAGCTTTTAAAACTAACATGGATCGCTTTTCAACTTTTTAACTGAATCTCTTTCAAACAGCTTAAAGTCTGTCAAATTGTTCTAGTTTTTATAAATTTTCCTTTTATTTGAATTACCCTGAATACTGTATTTACTTTTTCTACTAAACATTCTGTATTAATTTCATCAATCGTACTTCTATTTTTTTGCTAACTTTTGAAAATGACTAAAACTGAAGTATTCTGGTAGTTAAGGGGACAGATGGTCCTAAGAGTCAAGACTACACTACAACGAATTCAAACACCTGACTTTGTTAAAGCTGCGCAGTAAAAATAAATATACTTTAAACAAGCAGCAGAAAACACCAAATGTTGATGAAATATTTCTTGATGCTGACATCTAATTTTCCACCAGCATACATGAGCTAAATACTGAAAGCCCTGATTCCAAACTTATCATTGTTTCATTTAATGTGTTTAGGTGGAGCAAGTAAAAACATGATCAAGTGGAAGTGAAATAAAAACATGTGAGGTGAAGCGCTGGTGTTTGTTTCGAGAAGAACAATAAGTTGTTTGTTTCAGCGGTTTCCAAGTCTGTCTCTGTGTGGTTTGTCTTCTCATACGAGCAGGATGTCCGAGACTCAGCGGTGAACTGTTCTCATGCGATCACTTCATAAACTTTAAATTCCTATAATACTGTTTAACTGTGATTTCTTCCATATTCTTTGCATGAATGGTGCTATTTGCACCAAAAATCTCTCACATATACTTTTAAGTTGTGTTCGTCATTACTGACCACTAAAGTCGAACCTGCATTCATGTGAATAAGCACGTGACCTCGTCTTGAATGTAACACTAGTGTAGCTCAGATTAACCTTAATGCTGGTTTGTACAGCTAACCTAAAATTCATCCTAATGACTGATTTTAATAAACACCAGCTTAGATGTTGTAGGACCAACATTATTAAAGACAAGTTTGTGTTCCCTGTATTGGTTTTGTAGGATGCAGCTGACCTCACTTCTAATGTTTGGTGAAAAAAACAAAACAAAACCTAAACAAACAAAACTTTATTCGATTTCATCATTATAGCACACGGAGTCACTGCAGTGAAGGGGTCTGAATACTTTCTGGAATTATTGTGCAACTGTGGCTGTTGCTGTAACTGTCACTGTGACATTAAAGTGAAAACCCCCAACTCGCACAGAAACCCACACAGCCCAGCTGCTGCACAAAGGGAAGCTCTGATTGGCTGTTGACTTTCTTTTCTGTCCTAATAACCGCTGAGAACAGATCCATATCTGCTGCTGCACCCCTCTATCTCATTCTTTTCCACTGAGCGCTCCACCCACTCAGAGCTGAACTGACCCCGTCTGACCCACCTGCTACATCATTTACTTTTTATTATTCTTTTGCTCTTTGTTAATGACTGACAAGGTTTTGCTACATTAAATAAATCGATGGCACAAAGCTTGTATTGAATCAGCTGTTTTGGACAATTTCAAGCTTGATTTAAAAACCTTTAGAACTTTTAATCCAACCACCAGAGCAACGTGTTAGCAGCTTCAAATTAAGAAGCAACACAGATTCTTACAGTTACTTTTTCTGGATGAAATTACATTTTATGTGTGTGTATCTGTGTTTGTTTGTGCATGGTAGTGAACCAAAAATATGTAATAAAAAACCCTGAATTATACACATGAGACGTTATCTATCCAAATAACTGGGGTTTAAAACTTCTAACTCTATATCTTTGTGTCTCACAAGATTATTGATTATTAAACGGGTCATTCATCTCAAATCAACACCGGTCTTCTACTCAACCATCTCAAATTTACATCAAAATGTTGTGACACAAAGTTTGAACATGTATAATGGTTGCTGACAAATTTTAGATTCATAAATCAAATTGTTCTCTCTCTCTCTCTCTCTCTCTCTCTCTCTCGATATATATAGATATAGATCTATATAGATAGAGATATAGATCTATATAGATCTATAGAGATATAGATCTATATAGATCTATAGAGATATAGATCTATATAGATCTATAGAGATATAGATCTATAGAGATATATAGATCTATAGATCTATATAGATCTATAGATCTATATAGATATAGATCTATATAGATCTATATAGATCTATAGATCTATATAGATATAGATCTATATAGATCTATATAGATATAGATCTATAGATCTATATAGATATAGATCTATAGATCTATATAGATATAGATCTATAGATCTATATAGATATAGATCTATAGATCTATATAGATATATATCTATAGATCTATATAGATATATATCTATATCGATATATATATATATCCCTTTCTAGCTCTCACAGCTAGAGATTGACGAGGTACAACACAAATGCTACGGCAAGGAGGAGTCAGGACGCCAGGTCAGGGGGGCGATATCATCACCCCCACCCGAGATTGGGTACATAGCCCCAAGTGCGATAGGAGAAGGATCGTTGAGTGCGGGAGGAACTGACCTGAAAAATAGGATCATGGCCAAGCTTGAAACCTGGATCCCCCGTAGCCGGTCACCAAGATTACGTGAAGTACCCTCAGAAGGTCTGCTAGATGATGTTAATGCAGCACTACGGGCAATACCTACAACCACGATTACCGACACTAACAAGCTGATCTACAATACGGCAGCAGTGATCAGTGAGATGCTTGGCTACAAGCTGAACAGCGACAAGGGGCAGTACCCTCCATGGAGAAGGAGGCTAGAGGGCAAGATCAAAGTAGCACGGAGGGAGGTTAGCCAACTAACGGAGTTGCAGAAAGGTAAGACAAATAAGGTGCCTAAGAAATACAGCAAGCTGTCCATACCTGAGGCCTTGGAAACTGCCAAGCAAAGACTCACAGCCTTGGCCAGCCGCTTGAGGAGGTACACCAGAGAGATAGAAGGCAGGAGAATAAACCAGCTGTTCTCCACAGAACCAGCAAAGGTGTACTCTCAGTGGCAAGGGAACAATAAGAGAACAGCACCACCAAGGCTGGAGACGGAGCAATACTGGAAGAGCATATGGGAGAAGGATGCAACCCATAACGGCAATGCTCAGTGGCTAGAGGATCTGAGGGCAGACCACAGCGACCTCCCTGAACAGGGTCCAGTAACCATCACAGTGGCAGATATCCAAGAAAGGGTCTCCAGTATGAAGAGTTGGACAGCACCAGGGCCCGACATGGTTCACGCCTACTGGCTGAAGAAGCTGACTGCACTCCACGAGCGTCTGGCAGCACAAATGAACCAGCTGCTAGTTAACGAGAGACACCCGGAATGGCTAACTGAAGGCCGGACGGTCCTGATCCCCAAGGACCCCAAGAAGGGACCGGTCCCCTCCAACTACCGACCAATAACCTGCCTCAGTACCACATGGAAGCTCCTGTCAGGCATCATATCGGCTAAGATGAACAGGCACATGGGTCAATACATGAGCAGGACACAGAAAGGAATTGGCAAGAATACCAGAGGCGCAAAACACCAGCTACTGGTAGACAGAACAATCAGCCGAGACTGCAAGACCAGACTGACCAACCTGTGCACTGCCTGGATTGATTACAAGAAGGCCTATGACTCAATGCCCCACAGCTGGATACTGGAATGCCTAGAATTGTACAAGATCAATGGGACCCTAAGAGCCTTCATCAGGAACTCAATGGGGATGTGGCGTACAACACTAGAGGCCAACTCCAAGCCCATAGCACAAGTCACCATCAAGTGCGGGATCTACCAAGGAGATGCTCTGTCCCCACTGCTGTTCTGCATAGGCCTGAACCCCCTCAGTGAGATCATTAACAAGACTGGCTACGGATACAGACTACGGAACGGAGCAGTTGTCAGCCACCTCCTGTACATGGATGACATCAAGCTGTATGCCAAGAGTGAACGAGACATCGATTCACTGATCCACACTACCAGGCTATACAGCAATGACATTGGAATGTCGTTCGGACTGGAGAAGTGTAGCCGGATGGTAACAAAGAGAGGGAAGGTAGTCAGAACTGAGGGGATTGAACTACCAGAAGGCAACATTGCAGACATAGAGGACAGTTACAAGTACTTGGGGATCCCGCAGGCGAATGGGAACCATGAAGAGGCCGCTAGAAAAGCTGCAACCACCAAGTACCTGCAGAGGGTCAGGCAAGTCCTGAGGAGTCAGCTGAATGGTAAGAACAAGATCCGGGCCATCAACACGTACGCCCTACCCGTGATCGGGTACCCTGCTGGGGTAATAGGCTGGCCAAAGGAGGAGATAGAAGCCACTGACATAAAGACAAGAAAGCTCCTTACCATGCATGGAGGGTTTCACTCCAAGTCCAGCACCCTGAGGCTGTACGCTAAGCGGAAGGAAGGGGGCCGGGGACTGGTGAGTGTCAGCACCACAGTCCAGGATGAGACAAGGAACATCCAAGAATACATTGGGAAGATGGCCCCAACTGACAGAGTGCTCAGTGAATACCTCAGGCAGCAGAAACCCAAGAAAGAGGAGGGAGACGAGGAACCATCATGGAAGGACAGGCCCCTGCACAGTATGTACCACCGGCAGATAGAGGAGGTGGCTGATATCCAGAAATCCTACCAGTGGCTGGACAAAGCTGGACTGAAAGACAGCACAGAGGCACTAATCATGGCAGCACAAGAACAAGCTCTGAGCACAAGATCCATAGAGGCTGGGGTCTATCACACCAGGCAAGACCCCAGGTGCAGGCTGTGTAAAGATGCCCCAGAGACAATCCAGCACATAACAGCAGGGTGCAAGATGCTAGCAGGCAAGGCATACGTGGAACGCCATAACCAAGTGGCCGGCATAGTGTACAGGAACATCTGTGCCGAGTATAACCTGGAAGTCCCGAGGTCAAAATGGGAGATGCCCCCAAGGGTGGTGGAGAATGACCGAGCTAAGATCCTGTGGGACTTCCAGATACAGACGGACAAAATGGTGGTGGCTAACCAACCGGACATAGTGGTGGTAGACAAACAGAAGAAGACGGCCGTAGTGATCGATGTAGCGGTTCCGAATGACAGCAATATCAGGAAGAAGGAACACGAGAAGCTGGAGAAATACCAAGGGCTCAGAGAAGAGCTCGAGAGGATGTGGAGGGTGAAGGTAACGGTGGTCCCCGTGGTAATCGGAGCACTAGGTGCGGTGACTCCCAAGCTAGGCGAGTGGCTCCAGCAGATCCCGGGAATAACATCGGAGATCTCTGTCCAGAAGAGCGCAGTCCTGGGAACAGCTAAGATACTGCGCAGGACCCTCAAGCTCCCAGGCCTCTGGTAGAGGACCCGAGCTTGAAGGATAAACCGCCCGCAGGGGCGTGCTGGGTGGTTTTTTTTTCATCTAGATATATATATATCGATCGATCGAGATAGAGATTATATCTATATATATATATATATATATATATAGAGAGAGAGAGAGAGAGAGAGATAGATATCTATAGATAGAGAGAGATAGATATCTATAGATAGAGAGAGATAGATATCTCTAAATATCTCTCTATATCTCTCTCTATATCTATATCTCTCTAGTTCCCACCAATTGAGCACTGCGTGGCACAACCGACATTCTGTTTTACTTTTGTCCATGACACGCTTACCTTCAGGGTCATGCTTCACATGAAAACCAAGATAGTTCCAAACGCCATATCTGAATGAGGGTGGGGGAGGTTCAATTTCAGGTAGCGTTCAGGCAGTTGCCATGTTGCAACGAGCTTAGCTTCTGTCTTGCTAGCTTGCGCTGTGCTCAGTCGATCTGCGCTCGACAGTGCAACCTAGGCGGAGTAGTCAAACGCAGATCCACTGAGCGCTCAACACAGACAGCATCGTCAGAAGAAAAGTTGATAAAATAAATAAAA